GTCAGTTCGTACAGGAGTGGACCAATTCTTGCAAGGCTAGGTTGTTATAAAAACCCCTCCTGCCTTCCCTTGGTCTCTATGGAACACATGCTCCTGACATGAGTGCCCTTTCTCTGTCTGCGGCTCACCATGATGTGATGCAGCACAAGGAACTCACTAGAAGCCAAGCAGATGCTAGCAGCGTGCTCTTGGTCCTCCAGAAATGTGAACTAGATAAACCTCTATTCTTTATACTATATCCAGCCTCAGATATTCTGCTACAGCAATAGAACACAGACTAAGGCAGGATAAGCCATGTATACTACAATACCCCTAGAGATGGCTTTGTAGATTCGAGGGCAAATCTATCCTTTGCTCTTCAAAATGTGATTTGTGAATCTTTTCAATATTACATGTCAATTGCTTACTATTCATTGATAAGTCACTTAGCTTTGGATCCAGATAAGACAAGATCCCTGACAATGCTATCTGGTTGGAGGAATGAAGGCATATTTGATGTATTAGGAATCTTTTTTTTTTTTTTTTTTTTTTTTTTTTTTTTCACTTCAAATGACAGAATACCCAACCTAAATTGACAAAAACAAAAAGATAAATTACTGGCTCATATAAATAAAAAATCTGGGGGTGGGTGGGTATATATTAGTTAGCAATTGATGAGTAATATACCACCTCAACACAGAATAGTTTAAAACAACTGTGTATTTGGCTCGGTATCTGTGAGCCAGCAATTTAATGTGGGCTCAGTAAGATGTTCTTCCGGTCTGCACGGGGTGCAGGTGTAACTACGGGGTACTGTGGATCAGCTAAGCGGCAATGCTTCTGGTGGCTACTGGCTTTTGGCTGGCTGCCTTAGCTCTCCTCCAGAGTGTACCTATTCTCCAGCAGGCTAGCCCAGGCTTTCTGCACAGTGGAAGGATTCTAAGAGACTGAAGGTGCACATCCTCACTTCCACGCCCTTGTGCTGTCTAAAATGAGCTATAAGACTCATTGGAATTGGAAGCTATCATCAAAAGGAGCAGTGGATGCTGTTGCTGATCATCATAGTGGCACAATATACTTGCCACAGCTCCATTTACTGATTAGGTGTAATAATGCAGTAGGTTCAGAGAGGGGCTATCATTCTAGACTTGAATCCAGCTCTTCAGAGCCATTTGGTCCTGCATTACTTTTCTCAACACAGAACATAATTCTGCATGATATGAGGAATATACTGTGCTAGCTGGAGAGGTTTTTACTTTGTAATAGAAATATCACCCTGATTGATGGTAGCTTTGGCTTTTTGTGATCATCTTCTACGTGTTGTGGGATCAATACACTTTCAGATACTTGCCCATTCACCAAGGCATTATCTCTCCAAACTTCTTTGTCCCTGCTTATATTTGTCAACTTTACAATCCTTTTATTACCAGCAAAAGCTTTGGGAAGCTACAAATAAAAGCCGGGATTATAAAAGGATTCTTATTAAAGCATGCTTTCTTTGAGGCCCGGAGTACAATGCCCTCCGTTCTCCCCTTGTGAAAAGATGTATTTTCCTGTTTAATTAGAATAGACCTCCATTCCATTAGAAGTGGACAAGTAGGGCAGCAGGATTGCAACTCCAGGCTCCAGGAAAAAAAGGTTTATTTATTTTCTCTCTGGTCAACTTTTAGAGCATATTACAACTCGCGAAAAAATTCTGTAGTATTTAGGGACGAATGAGTACATGTCAGGCACCAGGTCCCTGCCACATAGGAACAGGTCATAGTCTCCATTTTTGTTATTTTTTTAAAATTGTTTTTACTTTGCAATTAAAGCCTGTGTTGGGGAAATGCAAAGCCAAGTACATCAATTAAGGTCCTAGCAAGAAACAGATGGCACACTCAATTTGGATAATTTGAGCAGAGTTTAGCAAAGGGACTTTCTGCAGAGATGCATACAGAACTAAAGGAAACCAAAAAGGATGGTGTTGTCCTCCAGAGTTAGCAACTGTCTCACTTAGAGCTTGAGTTGGCAAACTGAGGCTCGTGGGCCGAATCTGGTCTGCTACTTGTTTATAAAAATAAAGTTTTATTGAAACACAGCCATACACATTTCCATAAAGCAAAGTTGAATAGCTGCATCAGTGATTGTATGGCCTACAAAGCTTAAAATATTTATTATCCCTGAGCCACATCCCCAGCCCTATTTTGTATTTCATTTAGAGATAGAGTCTCAATGAGTTGCCTAGTGCCTCTTCTTTGCTGATGCAGGCTTTGAACTCATGATTCCCCTGCCTCAGCCTCTTCAGCTGCTGGGATTACAGGTATGTACCACTGCACCCAGCTGGGATGATTTATTTAAAGTGTGTTTTCTCCACTGCAGGCTCATTGATCAATCAGGTCCACAGCCTGATTCTTCAATGTAGTAGTTGTTCAAGAAATATTATTGAATAAACCATACAACAAAGAATATGCAAAGGAACTTGCACTTAAAAATAATGCAATATGTCCTTGAGATGAAGGAGATATGGGCAAATGAAAAAAGTAGTTACATGAAAGTCCTTTCATCAGAAACAACTGAGACAAATAGGTAGTGGTGAAATAATGATTAAAAATGCTACATTAAAATTTTATTTTAACACAAAACATATGTCATTTGGCCAATCATTTGATGAGGGTCTTAGGATTTTTTTTTTTAAGAAAAATACTTTGCATTACAATATGAAGACTTCTAAATTATCTTTCTTGCATAAACCACACTTACAATGCATCATCTAGAAACTTCAGAGTCTTTAAAATAAAACGTGAAACCTTAAGAGACTAAAAAGATATTCTGAGGGCAGTTTGCATATAAATCTTTACAATTTTCCTTAGTGTTTTACAGATTTGCCAATTTTTTTATTTTTTATTTTTTTTACTGGGGATTGAACTCAGAGGCACTTAATCACTGAGCCACATTGCCAGCCCTTTTTATTTTCTATTTTGAGGCAGAATCTTGCTAAATTGCTTAGGGCCTCACTAAATTACTGAGCCTGGCTTTGAACTTTCAATCCTCCTGCCTCAGCCTGTGTGCCATCACACCCAATTTGCCAATATTCTTCCTACTTGTTTGCCTTCATCAAATCTTTCCAAAGTATTCTATCTAGTTTTTACAGAAATATCTGTTTCTTTTATCGCTCATGTTACAGAATGTACATGATTGCATGAACAAATACAACTGGAATAAATAGGTTTGGGAATAAATGAGATGGACTCGTAGCAATTGAGCCAGGCCAAGGACATGTTAGAAAGTAGCCTACTTGCCACGAGCCTTCAATCTGCTGGGGTTATCAGAATTGTGGTTTACAGGAAGAAGGGAGCGACTTGGTTAATTTGGTGAATTAGTTAAATAGTTGTCTAAGAGAGACTTTGTGTGATTATCACTCACTATTTTTTTTTTCTTTTTGCAATGCCTAGGATCGAATCCAGGGCCTTGAATATGATAGGCAGGTGCTTTGCCACTGAGCTCACCTGCAGCCCAACACTCAATATTTTTGAGGCTAAATACAAAGGTCAACCTTTTAATCACTGACTTTTGCCTTTCTATCCTGCAAACAGCCCCAAACAATCATAAGGGCGAGAGACCAAATCCAGGCAGTAGGGCTCCTTGCAGTTGGCCACAGGAAGGATATCATCCTGGACTTTGTTCACTGGTTTCTGTCCCCAGCGTAAATCAGATGGAGTCATCTCTTGGCAGCTACATGGACCTGTTTTCCTTTGACCTGATATTTGTCCAATAATTTGGATCCCTCCTGAGTGGGGAGGGGAAGGAGGGGTTAGCCCCAAACTAGATACACCAACCTGAGGCTTGTGTTGGACAGGGGAACAGGGCTCTAGTCTCATCATGGAAGAAGTGTTCTGTGTTGAGGAAAGATTAGTCATCAGGAGACCTGCATTCCAAACCTGGCCCTGCCACTTATAAACTTTGCCACCTTGGTCAGGCAGGACGCTTACACTTGTGTGTCTTTGTTAAATTGCCTATAAAATAAACATTCCGTCCATCATGTGGAATAATTATTCATGAGGAATAATTCCTCTCTCACAGAAACGCTCTTAGTCTCAAGTGAAAAAAAGATTCACATACAAGTGTTAAATATTTTCATTTTTTCCCCTCTTTTTCTGTAGAGTCAGGATAGGCTCCGTTATGCTACAGTAACAATCTCAAACTTCAGTGGCTCAAAGAAGCAAAGTTTTTTTTTTTGTTTTTTTTGGTCACTCTCATCATGTGTTCACCACAGGTTGATGTGGGACCTCTGGTCAGCACACTCACTCACTCTGGGACCCAGGTTGATGGCACAGCCACCATCTTGAATATTGCCAAACACCACAGCAGAGAGAAGAACACTCTGTAGAGAAGCCACAAGTAACTTAGTGTCTAACCTAAAAACAAACCATGAAACTTCTGCTGGCAAGTCATTGACCAAAGTTATGCACAGGGTCCCCTCCTACTTTCAAGGGGGACAGGAAGTGTAATTCTCAAGGCGTTTCAAAGAGTAAGAAATGGAGGATGAACAGCACTCACGATTGTCACACTACCTTTTTTTTTTTTTTTCTTTCACTTCATCTTGCCTGCCTTTCCTGGTCTCTGTGTCCTTTCTTTTTAGAGAATGCTGTGTGGTAGATGTTTAAACATTAAAGACAAGCAAAGCTCACCTCTGTCACTTACCAGGTGTGTAGGCAACACTGGACATAACTCTTAAACTTCTTGTCGGTCACCTTATCTTAAAAGGGTGTTTGTCATGGAGATTAAATGAAGTAATACATGGATGGTCTCCAGGAACAAAGGAGAAACTTCACAAATACCTGTTTCCTTCTTCCATTCATCAGGTTCTCATGTTTTCCCCTTCCCTCTTTTCCAAGTTCTCCTTGTAGAGAAATGTGAAGGTTTAGGGGTTAGGTGCAGGGCTAGAAAAAGAAAAAAATACTTCCATCTTCAGCCCTGACCTCAAATGATCTGTAAATAGCAGCCAGAGTCAACCCCAGATTATCCCAAGGTCACCTCAAGGTGCTGTGAGTTGCAAGGAAATGTTGAGCTCTTCTTTGGTATGAGGAGTCTCAGAGAGTCCCCACCCCTGAGCCTTGTCTGAGCTCTGCTGTCTCCAGGAGAGGCACTGTGGCACCCAGCACTTCGCAATCTTCATCACGCACATGAATCCCCAGAGTATCCTGTCAAATGCACGTTCTGTTTCTGCTGGTCTGGATTGGGGCTCTACCAACTGAGCTTCCAGGAGATGCCAAAGCTGTGAGTCAGTGGTGGCCCACACTTTGAGTAGAGAGGTTCTGAAGGAACGAAATGAGGATTTAAGCAGTCTAGACCTGAATTAGAATCCTTGATCAGCTCCTTGTAAATGGCAAGGCTTAGGCGAAACACTTTTGTCTTCCAAAACTCCACTTCTTCATCTGCAGAACAAGTGACCCAGGGTGAGTTTGCTGGGTGTTCTTAGCTGTTGCTGGTACCTCTTCAGACCTTAAAGCCTGACCTTTCTCTCAACCACAATGATTCTCTTTTCTCTCTTCCTTTGCTCAACAGATGTCGGAAGATGCCTCTGCCCATCTCGGCTTCCAGAGAGATCTACCTTGCCCATATGACAAGCGTCAGAGATGTGTGAGAGAGGAATGCTAAATCCAGACCATGTTCAAGCAGAGAGCATGACGGGAGATTGGGGTGGCCCCGAGCTAAGGGAAGTTGATATAATGGTGGCCGTGAAGGCATCTTAACCAAATAGAACCTTTTAAACCAGGCCACGAGCAGTGAGACCCTACTTTTTCTTATGGGATGCGGTGATAAAGAAATTACATAGTTATTTGAGAGGAACATAAATAAAGATTAATAGGTTAATGAGTTATTTTCCTTTCATTACTACACTATTGTACTTTATTATAATTGCTTTGCACTCATTTAATTAAATTTGAACTGGGGCCAACACAAGATAATTTGTTTTCCCTGTACTGAACAATGAGTATGCAGATTGGATGTACTGAAGCAGTAATCAGCCCTCTGTTTGTAACACTTTTCTACTCTGAGTAGACATTATAATTGATAATTTGATTGTTGCAGCACTCTGTGCAATATATTTTAAAGCAACATTAACATAATGGAAATTATGTTGTGAGCTTAATCTCAGCTTTTCACTGGGAGGCTATCTGGCTCCTCCGTGTAAACCAGCCAGGGTTTGACAACAGCGGGCCTCTCTCCTCTCTCTCTCTCTCCTTGCTTTTTTCCTCCTCTTTTCATTCCTTTACTTCCTTCTCCCCCCAGTTCTTCCCTCACTTCCTTTCCTTTCATCTTTTTCTCCCTTCCTTTCCTTTCTCTTTCTTTTCTTCCCTCCTTCCATAACCACATTCACTTTTTTCTCTTACCTGATTCTCTAGCTCCATGGAAGAAAGCAATACTATGAAATAAGGAGTGTTCACAGCAACCCCTGGGATGCACGCCTAATTTTGAGACCTGTTCACATCCATGACATTTGGGGAAAAGCAAGCAAGAACTTTTTCCATGAGTGGACTGATTCAAGGTGGGCAATGTGGCAGCCAGTGCCACACTGTGAACACTCTGCATTGATTTGCGAGGGGGTCATGCCCTCTTACAGGACATTTCTGTGAAAAAAAAAAATCACTAGCGTTTCCTTTGTCTATAGTCAATTCTTCCTTATAGCTGCAAACACTTTCTTGAAAAGAGGTGGCCTTTATCTTCATGAATACATCTGGGAACTAATTCTCTTTGGTGTAGCTTTTCTTGTCCCGCAATGGAAACTAGGTGTGACATTCTATTTAATAATCCCAGGCCAGAGATGTTGGATGTAGGCAAGGGGACCTTGTGCCCAGGTGACTTTTGTTGAATTTTCATAACTCTGTAAATATTTGTTTCTGTGTTTGTTTTGGGAGGAAAAACACCTGTGAGTGGTTGGAAATGACTCTGTTTGTTTTGGAAGAGCTGAGAGAGGGGAGTCTGAATGTTCTTTGTCTCCCACTAACCTGTCCAGGCCCTGAATTTGTCGCAAAAATCTAATTTCTTTAAAGAAAAGCCTGTTCTTTCTTCTCTGAGCTGTTTTGGAGGGTTGGGCACCCATACTGTGGTCTGCTGCTATATTTTCAAACTACCCTGTCAGCACAGAAGAAAAATGCCCCCTCAACCATCATGTTCCTTTAGGGTGACAATGTTTTGGAGAAGGCAGATTTGTCTCTATAATGTGTTCATTTTCTCTAGTTAACACTTGAGTGTCATAGCTGGGCCTGTGTCTTGTCTGCCCCCCCCCGCCCCGCCCTTCTTTTCTTTCTACATTTCTATTTTTTTTTTCATAAAAACATGACTTATTACCCAGTTGAGAAGTAGCACTTTTAAGTGTTACTTTTTCTATTCATTTGGCGACAGTGCGTTTTAGCCTCCCTCCTGATCATGAGATGGACTTCTCTCAGCTGGATCTACTGTTCTAATTATCATTATTTCTTTCATAGATAAAGGGCCCAGAGAGTTAAGTGAATTTTACATTGTATCTCCCATGAAAAAAGAAAACTCTCAAGGCACTGGGGATATAGCTCAGTTGGTAGAGTGCTTGCCTTGCGTGCATAAGGCCCTGGGTTCAATGCCCAGCACCACACACACACACACAAAAAAAAAAAAAAAAAAAAAAAGAAAGAAAACTCTTATTCGCCTGGATAGAGTGTGCTTCCTCTTGCTCATAGATGTTGTATCTAAATTGAGAGGCCCACAGTTGGCGTGTGGTCACAGCCTAGAGACACAGTTCCAGCTTCTTGCATCAGCCCAGCCAACGGCTTACTATCTCCAGGGACAGTGCCAGAGAAACCTACTCCCAAACAAGGACTCGGGGGTGGGTTAATGGAGCCCAGATATCAGGTACACAGGCCTACAGCAGTTTCCCACCAAGGGAAACCAGGACAAAGGGCCTCTCTCTTCCTCCTGACCATGGATTCCTGGCACTTGCAGTCTAACCAAATAGCACTGCCCTTGGGCTATTCACCTTGGCACTGCAGTGTGTATAGGGCTTCCCCTGTAGCCAACCCAATGGCAAGGAGTTAAGGGCAAGCATCTCCTTGAAGATGTTCCTCATCAACACCAGGAGGAGACTGAGGATGGGGACAAGGCAGGAAAACAGCTGGTAAATGACATGCCATCAAGCCAGTGGGCAACTGGGGCTCAAACCTGCTGGGGAGCCTCAGGAGCCACTAAAGAGCTTATACCCTAGAGCTAGCTTCTTGAGGTCTGAGGAGCTGGGACATTCACGCAGCACCTCCCATCAATTGCTGATTGAGAGATGCTCCTGAGAAAGTGCGAATTCACTGGAATTTCCACTCTGCTGAACACTGAGCAGGTTCGGAGAGTGAGATGCAGAGTCACCAGCAACTGGAAGTTGGGTCACATCACCACCAATGTTAGTGGCCTAATTGGGTCACTACTTAGCAGGCTGATGTCTGAGACAATCTGAGGGGGCACTGGTGACATCTGTTTGTTATGAAAAATCTCACATGCAACTATTCTTTCTTTTTAGACTATCAGCTCCATAAGGAAAGGGCTGAGCTGCCTATCAGCCTGAGTTCCATAATTCCTACCTGTATAATAATATTTAACAACCAAGAAGCACTGGTCATGGCAAATTATAAGAGTTATCTCTGTCAATGATTACAACAGTTCCACAAAAGTACATACTATTATAATCTCCATCCTACATCCTAAGTTACCTGCTGAAATGGTGACTAAACCTAGGTATTCTGTCACCAGAGCCTGGACCATCTTTTATATATTCTGACTTGAATCTGAGTCTGAAGCTCTAGAGACACCTCTCTCTCCCCCCCCTCCCCCTCTGTCTCTTTGGTATCAAGGATTGAACTCAAGGGCACTTACCACTGAGCCACATCCCCAGCCCTATTTTGTATTTTATTTAGTGACAGGGTCTCACTGAGTTGCTTAGTGCCTCGCTTTTGCTGAGGCTGGCTTTGAACTCGCGATCCTCCTGTCTTAGCCTCCCGAGCTGCTGGGATTGCAGGCATGAGCCACTGCATCCAGCTTAGAGCCATCTCTTGGTGACTACTTCTCGTGTGACATGTGCTGGGGTAAGTACTTCACATTCATTATTTGGTCTTAGTTTTCATTTTCTCATTAAGGCTGAGCAGTATGTGTAATTGTCTCTATTTTGAAGACAAGCAAGGTTCAGAGACATTAAACCTCACAGCTCATGAGTGGCTCTCTCCAAACCCTGGCCCCTGCTAACATCAGCCACCAAAGCCAGGATTTCAAGTTGCTCCGTTTTCTACCTGGTCCTCTGCACCAGGGAGTGGGCAAGTAATGAAGAAAATGAAGAAAGTTGTGTCCCTGACTCATTCCAGAGAAAGCGGTTGGACCAAGTATGGGTCAACACATGGGGGTCATTAGGGACATCACAGATCCAACCCCCCACTTCCTTTCACAAACCTGACACAATCAGGTAAGATGTTTGCTATTTTTTTTCCCCAACAGTGCTTTTGATAATATCCAAAGAGCTTTACAATCTACTTCCCCTTTACCTGGAGCGGTAGCAGGATGAAGCCAGTCCCGTCAGCCTATAGGAAGCCACTCCCCCAACTCTCTTTGGAAACCCTGACCCCTGTGTCCCCAAGACTAACAATAGAGCACCACAACATCCTGAAAGTTGGGGTTTTGGAGATGAGGGGCTGCATGCATGCTGCTCCATGCATGGGGGCAGCAGTCAAATCCAGGGTGCACTACCATCACTGGGGACGCTGGAGCAGGCAGAGAAAGGGGCACCTACCTGTGTCCCTCAGGAAGGCGGCTGGGCACTCACTCGGTGGAGCCCACTGGGGATCTTTCTCTCTCTTCTCCTTTTCCCTTCTTCTTCCTTTCCTTTTGTCTCTTGCTTCTTCCATTCCTTTGTAGAGAAGGAAGCCCCGGGAGGTAGAACAGGCCCTGCTTAGGAAACTAGAAGACCTCACTGTAGCCAGCAAAGGATGATGAATGCGGCCCTCGAGCTAGATGGCACCAGCTCTGGGCTTCAGTGGCTGGCCAGCCAGACAGGCAGCCTTCCTCCGCTCCTTGGATTTCAGCACCAGATCTGCAACACAGGGCAAATGATCAGGATTAGAACTTGTCCTAAACAGTATTTATAATTATTTTTGAACCTATATTTTTAAAACAGTAGATTTTATAGTTTAAGAAACTCAAGATCAATGACATTCCTTGAAAAGTCAGATCTGGCTGCCCTGGACTCAGACTGGTGAGTGCCAATTTCTTGCAGCTCCTTCCAGGAGAGGCCCACATTCTCCATTCAAGGCCCACCCTTGCTTTGTTCTGCACTCTTCTTGTTTTGGTATTGGTAAGAGGTTGGAGAGAGGTACAACTCCAAGGGGACCTCAGAAGCTCCTAAAAAATGCATATGGTTAGAGAATTTACATGTCTATGCTTTTCCTGCATAAGAAAGACCAACAACAAAAGGTTGGGAGGCTGAGATAGGAGGATCGAAAGTTCAAAGCCAGCCTCAGCAACTGAGGCCTTAAGCAACTTAGCAAGACCCTTTCTCAAAATAAAAAATACAAAGGGTGGGGGATGTGGCTCAGTGGTTTAAGTACCCCTGGGTTCATTCCTGGTACTAAAAAAATAAAAATGAAAGGTCAGTAATAATGTGGGATTGGGACTGACTTTATAGAATGGCACTAATGATCGCCCTGCATGTGTGCACGTGTGAGATGCCTTCACAGGAAGGATCTCACTGGAACCTCCAACCCCAAGAGAT